TGCCCCATCAGTGTGGGGGTGCTGGGGCTGCCCCTCGTCCCTCCCTGCTGCAGTGGCAGAGGCTGAGGTGCCTCCTGGGGCTGTTCCAATGTCACCCTTATCCTCCTGCAACACAGTCCTTTGACACAGGAACTGGACAGGAGCCTGTGGCAGGAAAGCCCCACTCTGATAAGGTCTAAAATCCAATCAAGGAACACATACTGTGCAAGTTATCAACTGCTGGCGCCCCAGTGTTGATTTGGTGTTCAATTAGGCTAAAACCATCCTGTTTCAGCAGACTTTGAATACACCCCGTGACTTTGAAGCAGGATTTGACAGATAAACAAGCCTGCAGGCTTGTAAATCTGTGACTACCACTCTCTCACTTCATAACTATAAAATCCCAGTCCAGCTTCCACTTGGCAGACTCTTTCAGGTACTTCCTCGAAGTCTGGAGCTTCTCCCATGAAGCAGGGACACCTCTTTATGGTTACTGCCCAGGGGTTAAGAGCAAGAGCGATATACCCGCTATCTCATATGGTGAGTTATATCAATCTCCACCTAATAATTGTTTCTTTTGCTTCCTTCAATACAATTGCTTTAACATAATTGCTTTGCTACACTGCACTATATCACTTTGTTATGCAATACCCTACTAGTAGTTTTTTAGCTTTTAAACTGTGTAGTAAAGAATTCTGATTAAGATCTTTCGTCTGTTCACCTGTTTGTTAATTTGCCATAATAAATAATTCATTTGTATAAATGTATCCGTTTTGCCATCATTAAAACCTGCAGGACAACATGGTTTAATCACACCTCTATAATTCATTTAAATTTAAACTGTTGACACAGTCCCAGGCTAAGATAGGATTTAGCCACATCTAAACCTTTCTCTGAAAAGGAGTTCGGAAAGCGAGGGAGTCCTTTCTGCACCTCGTGATTCATCAGCAAGGCTTTATATTAACATTGTCTAAGCCTTCCACTCTCCCGTGACTGAGTCCCTGGCGTGGGGGAACAGCTTTGCTCTGCAGAGGTGAAGGTGCTCGTGGTGACTGCTCAGGGTCAGTGTCAGGAGAGGAGAGCACAAGGGGAGGAAAAGCCCATGGCAGACAGGGCTGATCTGAGCATTCCTCACTGATCTCTCCAGTTCTGGAAAGCAATGGCAGTGGATGATCATTGGAGACAGTCTCTTCTACCAGGTAACAGTCATCAGGACCAGAGAAAATGGCCACTAGTAGCACGAGTAGAGGTTTAGATTGGCTATTAGGAACAACTTCTTTGTAGAAAAGGTGGTCAAGTATTGCAATACTCTGCCCAGGGCACTGGTGTAGTCCACTTCTCTGGTGGGATTTACAAGTTATGTAGATGTGGCACTTGAAGATATGGTTTAGTGGTGAGACACAAGGGACACCTGTGACTGCCAGATCAGAGATAAAGGTCCCACTTCTCAGAGGGACCATCTGCATAGCAGTTCCATCACAAACCCTCTGCACAAACAGGCACTGCTAAGCTCTGTGTTCCCACCCCAATGCCAGGCAGGAGCATCCCCAGGGACACACACACTGGGCACCCCCAGCATCCCCACCTGCTTCTCCTCACAACAACTCACCTTTGCCACCCCCACAGCCAGCAGGCACAGCACCCCCTCCATCCCAAGGACACGCACACACGGCCCACCCCTACAATGCCAAACTGCTCATCTTTATTCAAGCTGGCAAAAGCAGCCTCTGCCCCACAGAGCCCACGGCTGGGATGAGATGTCTCCAGCCCAGCAGCAGCCAGCAGGAGCAGCTGCCACTGCTGCTGTCCCAGCAGCTGGGCCTGGCAGAGGCAGGGAGGGGAGAGGACATCAGGAGATGGTTCCAGGAGCCAGAAGCGAGGGGAACGTCCTGCTTGGACATTTCAGGGTCTCAGCTCCACATGCTGTATAAAGAAAGCAGACAAGCATATCAGCTGTTGTAACTTTTCCTCCCACTCTCTCCCACCTTTCCTACAAGAACCATCCAGTCTGTGGTGCAGGAGACTCAGGCTCAGCACAGGGGAGGCCCAGTCCTTTGTGCAGACAGTTTGGACCTGGGTTATCTTAGTGGTGGTGGCAGCCCTGACTCCAAGTCTGAGCAGATGCAGCAAAACCTGGATCATGTCCTGGGTGCTGCCTAAGGACAGCAAATGCTTCACTTTTTGGTCACTTGGTTGAGTCCTCTGCAAAGCCTGAATGAGCCTCCTGGCACTGGAGGAGGGTGGGGAGGCACTGGCTGACCTGGGGCTCCTGCAGCCCCACTCAGGGCTGGCCCAAAACCACAAGGGCTTTTGCCTTCCTTCTTGGGCCTCACCCATAAACCATACATGCACGACATTATTTAGCGGGCATTAGCTAGAGATAACATTGTAACAAATCTTTCTGTGGAAAATGGAGAACTATCTTTGTCAGCTAGCGATCTTTTACTTACCTTTTGCAACACGCTCTAAATGTAGAGCATCTTCCAATTGCTTTTGTACCGTAGGGGCATTTCCCAAAATTGCAGTGGCCCCCGCTTAGTTTGCATTTGAATTTGCCTCCTGTTTCCATGTGGAAAAATACACACAGAGAACAATTAAATCAAGAGTCTGGGAGAGCTGTGTATATTTGCAGAAAGGCTGACACTCCCTGTGCATTTCAGCACAATTGTGCTGTTGTGCTCAGCTCTAACCTCGCAACAGCCACATCTTGAAGAGCAACATGTCTCACCTTCAAGGACTCTTTCACCCTAAATTGGGTGTACACAAGAGCAGAGAGTGGGAAGGAGCAGTGTGTTGGCTCCCCAGCTGCTTTCCCAACACTGCCTGCACCAACACAGCTGGAAAAACAGGGGACTCCTCACATCCCACATGCCTGTCCTGGCTGTGCCATGATTGATGTGACCTGTGAGGGAAATCTTTTCCCAGCCCTTGCAGGGATCATGCCTTGGGGTAATGAGGTTTTGGGACACTCAGCTGATGCAGCACTAGATGAAAAGGGACAGTTCTGTGCTCCAGAGACCCAGCAACCCAAACACCCCTGGGGCTCTCCCAGAGACACTGAAAAAGCAACATCTGGGTGTAGAGTTGGAGCTTGAAACAAATCCCCTTCTTGACTCACAGAAGTAGCCTGGCTTGTATTTCCAGGAGCTCCACACACCCCTCGTCTGTGTCTGTAGGAAATTCACTTGAAAAGCTCCAGTTTCCTCAATTCTGTATAACATTTGCATCCTTCCAAGAAATGTGGTCACTTCCCAGGACATGGAAAATTCCAGGGATGGGGGCCAAGAGCTTCCCCAAATCCCCTCTTCCCCTCTCACCTGCAGCACTCTGGACCAACAGGAGGAGCAAGGCGAAGAGCAGGTACAGGATCTTCATGGCTGATCCTCCTCTCCCAGGTCTTCACAGGGCTGCAGAGGGGACACCAAGGCAATGAGGACATGGAGGACCCCAGAGGGTGCTGAAGCTTGGGCACTGGGGTTCCCTGAAGTGCAGAGGGGCTGCCTCCAAACACAGCACATGATCTTTCCTCTACCTTTCTCTTAAGAACAATTCTGAGGTCTATGCCACCCTGCAAACCTTGGGAGTATTTACCGGTGTCTCAGCCTCTGGGAAATCCATTCCCTAAGATGATCCTTTTCCAATAAGTTTGTCTAAAATCTTTCAGAAACTTTCCCCCGAGAACAGACTGCACACCTGACCCCAATTCTTACCAATTCAATCCAAAGAAAGTCTCCATTTGCCCAGCAAAGATCTCATGTACCTCCTGCACCATCAAAGCATCTTTCCAACCTCTCCTATACTCAGGCAAGCTTCATTTCACCTCCCACATATTCTCAAATCTTAGACTCATATGAAGGCTTTTATTCTCTTTCTCAGACATCTCTGATGGTCCAATAACACACCTGGATACTTCCAGCTGTTTGTCCTTTAGGTGAGTCTGTGGAGATGGGCTTTGAGCTGAGAACCTGAATGGGGAGGTTTCCAGAAAGAGACCCCACAGTCACCTACCTGAGGAAGGTCTTGTTGTTCAGGCAGCAGAAAATCCAACAGCAATTGTTCAGCTACAGATTTCCTTGGGATCATGGAATTCTGCTTTGCCTAAAACAGCCTGGTTTTATACCCCTCCTGGTGGGTGGGACATGCCCTTATTGCTGTTGACACAACTGCCCTTGGCCAACCAGGCAGTGCCCCATCAGTGTGGGGGTGCTGGGGCTGCCCCTCGTCCATCCCTGCTGCAGTGGCAGAGGCTGAGGTGCCTCCTGGGGCTGTTCCAATGTCACCCTTATCCTCCTGCAACACGTCCTGTGACACACAGGCTGGGCAGGAGCTGCCTGGGATTGGGAACAGCTTTGTTTTGCAGAGGTGAAGGGTGGTGAGGTGCAGAGGTGAGGCTCAGGGTCAGTGTCAGGAGAGGGGAGCACAGGGGGAGGAAAGGCCAAGGCAGACTGGCCTGATCTGAATGTCTCTCACTAAACCCTCCAGCTGTGGAAAGCAGTGGCATTGGAAGCTTTTTTGAGATTGATCCCTCCTCCCAGGGAACAAATGTCAGGTCCAGAAAATGGCCCCAATTGCACCATGGAGGTTTAGGTCAGGCATTAGGAACAATTACATCACTAAATGTCCCATCAGGAACTGGCACAGGTGCCCAGGGTATCGTGGAGTCCTCATCTCTGGGGGGATTTAAAACCACGTAGATAAGGCACTGGGGACATGGTTTAGAGGTGCTGTGGTTGTCAGGGACAAGGGACAAAGCTCCTACTTCCCGGAGGGAGCACCTGCAGAGCAGCTCCATCACTCCCACAACAAACCCCCTGCACCAACAGGCACTGACAGGCTCTGTGTTCCCACCCCAATGCCAGGCAGGAGCATCCCCAGGGACACACACACTGGGCACCCCCAGATGCTTCTCCTCACAACAACCCACCTTTGCCACCCCCACAGCCAGCAGGCACAGCACCCCCTCCATCCCAAGGACACGCACACACGGCCCACCCCTGCAATGCCAAACTGCTCATCTTTATTCAAGCTAAAGAGGCAAAAGCAGCCTCTGCCCCACAGAGCCCACAGCTGGGACGAGATGTCTCCAGCCCAGCAGCAGCCAGCAGGAGCAGCTGCCGCTGCTGCTGTCCCAGCAGCTGGGCCTGGCAGAGGCAGGGAGGGGAGAGGACATCAGGAGATGGTTCCAGGAGCCAGAAGCGAGGGGAACGTCCTGCTTGGACATTTCAGGGTCTTAACCCCATGTGCTGTACAAAGAAAGCAGAGAAGCACATCAGCTGTTGTAACTTTTCCTCCCACTCTCTCCCACCTTCCCTGCAAGGACCATCCAGTCTGTGGTGCAGGAGACTCAAGCTCAGCACAGGGGAGGCCCAGTCCTTTGTGCAGACAGTTTGGACCTGGCTTATCTTAGTGGTGGCAGCCCTGACTCCAAGTGTGTGCAGATGCAGCAAAATCTGGATCGTGTCCTGAGTGTTGCTCAAGGACAGCAAATGCTTCACTTTTTGGTCACTTGGTTGAGTTCTCTGCAAACCTGAATGAGCCTCCTGGCACTGGAGGAGATTGGGGAGGCACTGGCTGACCTGGGGCTCCTGCAGCCCAACTCAGGGCTGGTCCAAACCCACTACGGCTTTTCCCTTCCTTTCCCTATAAATGCAAACCGTAAATACAGGTCATTTAGTAGGCATTAGCTAGAGATAACTTTGTAACAAATCTTTCTGTGGAAAAAGGAGAACTATCTTAGTCAACCAGGGATCTCTTACCTACCTTTTGCAACACACTCTAAATGATGAGCATCTTCCAATTGGTTTTGTACCGTATTGGCATTTCCCAAATCTGCAGTCTCCGCCATTTATTTTGCATCTGAATTTGCTTCCTGTTTCCATGGGGCAAGACACACAGAGAACAATTAAATCAACAGTCTGGGAGAGCTATGTGTGGCTGCAGAAAGGCTGACACTCCCTGTGCATTTCAGTCCAATAATTGTGCTCAGCTCCAACCTCTCCACAGCCACACCTTCAAGAGCAACATGTCTCTCTAGGATTCTCCACCACTAAATTGGGTACAGACAAGAGCAGAGAGTGGGAAGGAGCAGCGTGAGGTCAAGGAAGAGCCTTGTTGTCTGCCCACAGCATTCCCAACACTGCTTGCACCAGCACAGCTGGAAAAACAGGGGACTCCTCACATCCCACATGCCTGTCCTGGCTGTGCCATGGCTGGTGTGACCTCTGAGGGAAATTCCTTGCCCAGCCGTTGCAGGGATCATGCCTTGGGATAATGAGGTTTTGGGACACTCAGCTGATGCAGCACTGCATGAGAAGAGGCACAAATGCTTTCTGCCCCAAGCAACCCACTGAACAGCCCTGGGGCTCTCTCCCATGCCTGTACAGGGCAAGAGACCATCCAGAGACACCCAAAAAGAAATGGCTGGGTGCAGAGTTGGAGCCTGAACTCAAGCCCATTCTTGACTTGCAGAATAAGCCAAGCTTCTACCTTCAAGGATTCTCTCAGTCCCAAGTTTGTGTCCTACTGGAAGATCGCTGGATAAACACTTTTCTCATCAATGCCCACTGATATTTGCATCACTCCCACTAACACTGTAACTTCCAGGGACATGGAAAACCCCAATGATGGGGGAATCACAGGTTCCCCTGACTCCCCTCTTGCCCTCTCACCTGCAGCACTCTGGACCAGCAGCAGGAGCAAGGGGAAGAGCAGGTACAGGATCTTCATGGCTGATCCACCTCTCCAAGTTCTTCACAGGGCTGCAGAGGGGACACCAAGGCAATGAGGACATGGAGGCACCCAGGGGGTGCAGAAGCCTGGGCACTGGGGTTCCCAAAACTGCAGAGGGGCTGCCTCCAAACACAGCACATGATCTTTCCTCTACCTTTCTCTCAAGAACAATTCTGAGGTCTGTGCCACCCTGCAAACCTTGGGAGTGTTTCCTCCTGTCTCAGTCTCTGGGAAATCCATTCCCTAAGATGATCCAACTTCCAACAACTTTCTCTAAGGTCTTCCATAGGCTTTCCCCAGAGAACAGACTGCACACATGACCCAAATTCTTACCAGTTCAATCCAAACAAAGTTTCTATTATTTGCCCACAAAGAAGATCTCAGGCCCGTCCTGCAGCATCAAGACACCTTTCCAGTCTCTCCTCTACTTAGAAAACCTTAGTTTCACCTCCCACATGTTCTGGGCTCTGAGACTCATATGAAGGCTTTTATTCTCTTTCCCAGACATCTGTGATAGCCTAGTAACACACCTGGATACTTCCAGCTGTTTGTCCTTTAGGTGAGTCTGTGGAGATGGGCTTAGAGCTGAGAACCTGAATGGGGAGGTTTCCAGAAAGAGATCCCACAGTCACCTACCTGATGAAGGTCTTGGTGTTCAGGCAGCAGCAAATCCAACAGGAATAGCTTGTGTCCAGATGCCTTTGGGGTCTGGAGATGCTGTTTTGCCCAAAACACCCTGTGTTTATACCCCTCCTGGTGGGTGGGACATGCCCTTATTGCTTCTGACACAACTGCCCTTGGCCAACCAGGCAGTGCCCCATCAGTGTGGGGGTGCTGGGGCTGCCCCTCGTCCCTCCCTGCTGCAGTGGCAGAGGCTGAGGTGCCTCCTGGGGCTGTTGCAATGTCACCGTTATCCTCCTGCAACATGTCTTGTGACACCCCCTGCACAGCAGCACACGGGCTGGGGGAGCCTGGCATGACCTCCTTGGAATTTGCAGCAGCAGCAACCACTCTCAAAGAGTCAATAAGACTTCTCTCCTTGACTCTTCCAAGTTGACAAAATAATGAGGAGGTAACAGGGAATGGGCACAAGGAGTTATAAACCTCCTTAACTTTCAGTATTATAACAGGGGGTTTCATCTCTGCATTTATTTGAAGATTTTGTGATTCTGTGATCAGCATCTCCAGTTCACTGCTTCCATGGAAGTCATGTCTTATCATGGGTAACAAAAATATAATTTATCCATTGATCTTTCTCCTCTTCTTGCTGTTTCTCCTCTATCACTACTATATTAAGCTCATGGATGACGCTCCACAACACCATCAGTCTTGTTCGATATGGTCTGGGCCAAAGGAACAGCAGAACAGCAGAACAGCTTTGAGCTGCTGAGATCAGTGATATTCATGGTGACTGTTAAACGTTCAGTTAAAGGATACATGAATGAAAGTGAAGGGGATGATCCTACAAAGCCAGTGGGAACCTGCTGTGCTGGACCTGGACCACAGGGTGGGATCTTGATGGTGGGTGTGAGGAAAGAGTCCGAGCTGATGTGGACACAGGGTTTGATGTCCCAGGAGACTGGGCTACTCTGAATCCAGCAGGGACCCTCAGCTTCAGGACTTGTGCTGCTGAGATGTCCTGGGAGCAGATGAAAGCATCAGCCCCTGCCATGGCTCTGGGAAGGGTGCCTGGCCAGCGGGGAAGCAGAAGGTGTGGAAGTCAAGGATGGAGGGCTGAGGGTGATCTGTGCCCTTGGGATGGAAAGGATCCATCCCAGCCATGGAATCACCAGTTGCTGCCATACCCTTGTGTGCAGGGACACACACGTGGTGTGACTGCACAGGGCAGGGGATTGCACTGACAGGAAGGCCGAGGTGACTGGTTGTTGGGGGAGAATGGTGATGTAATCCCTGTTTCCTAAGGCAGGCAGGGAGGAGAACTCTGCTTTCTCCCTGTTGGAATACATTTCTGGACTTTTCTAGGCTGGAGTCCAAGGGACCCTTTGGACAGGTCACCTACTGGAAGACCTGCTTCCCTGCAAGGCACACAGAGGTTTTCTGAGGGCTGGTTGCAGGATCAGGCTCCTCCAGGAGGGCTGTGGAAGGGAGAGGGGCTGTGGAGCTGGTAGAGGGGTTGATGCTGTAGGGCTGGAAACAGGAGGGAGCCAAGTGGGAACTGTGCTGCAGCACTGAGCTCCACTGCAGATGAGGGAGGTGGAGGTTCCCAACTGGGAGGTTTGCTGGGAACTCTGAGACATCTGGGATGGGTTTGGTGGGCAGTCTTGGCCATGCCCACCAAAGAAACACAACACCCAGCACAGCCCTGTGCATGAAGCCATGGCTGTCAGGGACAAGAGACACACATAACCAGCAGGACCAGGGCAGGGCTCCTGCACTCCCAGATGGAGCATCCCCAGAGCAGCTCTATCACAGCACCACCAAACCCCCTGCACCAACAGGCACTGACAGGCTCTGTGTCCCCACTCACTGCCAGGCAGGAGCATCCCCAGGGACACACACACTGGGCACCCCCAGCATCCCCAGATGCTTCTCCTCACAACAACCCACCTTTGCCACCCCCACAGCCAGCAGGCACAGCACCCCCTCCATCCCAAGGACACACACACACGGCCCACCCCTGCAATGCCAAACTGCTCATCTTTATTCAAGCTGGCAAAAGCAGCCTCTGCCCCACAGAGCCCACGGCTGGGACGAGATGTCTCCAGCCCAGCAGCACCCAGCAGGAGCAGCTGCCACTGCTGCTGTCCCAGCAGCTGGGCCTGGCAGAGGCAGCGAGGGGAGAGACATCAGGACATGTCCATCAGAAGACATCAGGAGCCAGAAGCAAGGGGAACGTTCTGCTTGGACATTTCAGGGTCTCAACCCCACATGCTGTATAAAGAAAGCACACAAGCATGTCAAGCTGTTGTAACTTTTCCTCCCACTCTCTCCCACCTTCCCTGCAAGGACCATCCAGTCTGTGGTGCAGGAGACTCAGGCTCAGCACAGGGGAGGCCCAGTCCTTCGTGCAGACAGATTGGACCTGGCTTATCTTAGTGGTGGCAGCCCTGACTCCAAGTGTGTGCAGATGCAGCAAAACCTGGATCATGTCCTAGGTGTTGCCCAAGGACCACAAACGTTTCACTCTTTAGTGGTTTTGGTGAGTTCTCTGCAAAGCCTGAATGAGCTTCCTGGCACTGGAGGAGGTTGGGGAGGCACTGGCTGACCTGAGGCTCCTGCAGCCCCATTCAGGGCTAGTCCCTTTCCTCCCCTGGGCTCTGCCTTGGAGCACGTAGATCACTAAGCCATTAGCTTGTCATGGGCACTCAAAGAACTTCTGCCATAACAGTACCTTTTGCAATTACAAAACTTACTTTTTGCAGCAAAAGAAAAACCTTGAACATTTTCCCTGGATGATAAAGGGGAAAGAGCACTTCAGAAACCCGCAGTAGCCATTTTCTCGCTCACATTCCTTCTTATTTCCTGGGGCCAGGGAGGATCCTGCACAGTGAAAGAGGTTGAATAAAATGAGTATGGGATAACTGTCTTGTTCCAGAGCAGCTGGCAGTGGCTCTGCATCTCAGCCTCCTGTGGGCATTAAGCACCAATCCAAACATCTTTACCTCTCCAGTCAGGCTTTATTTTTTCTGCAGCAACATGAGTGCATGTGGAGAAACACAGGGAAAGAGCAGTGGGAACTATGGGAATTGCTGTGATGAGTCCTCATTTGCCCAACTCTTTGTAAGAGACAATCCCTCCCAAATATTATGTATATCTGAGAAATGTGGTCGCTTCTCAGGAACTGGAAAACCCCACAGATGGGAGCTCAAGCCTCACCCATGTCCCCTCTTTCCCTCTCACCTTCAGCACTGTGGACCAACAGGAGGATGAAGGGGAGGAGCAGGTACAGCATCCGCATGGCTGGTGCCTGTCCTGGGTCTTCACAAGGCTGCAGAGAGGACACACCAGGAACCAAACCATGGTCAAGAATTTAGGGCAATCCTTGTACCAGAGATGCCAAGCTGGAGTCTCACCCAGCACTCTCCAGTACCTCAGCCAGCCCAGGGCTGGCTGTTTCAATCACCCCTGCTTCATTGAGCTCAGGAAAGTACCTCCCAGTTCACCTGGGGAGTGCCCATCCCCAACTCCAGACCATTCCCAGGATTCCCAGCAAGGACAGTCTCCTACCCGGTGCAACAGTGAGCCAGGGAAGAGCAAGAGAGCAGGGAAGGGTCTGAATGTCCTGGAAGTGACTCCTCAGTCACCTACCTGATGAAGGGGTTGGTTCAGAGCACACCAAGGCAGCAAAGGGCTGTAACAATCTGACCTGGAGTCACACACGGAAGAGTCACAATTGAGGAGTATCACTTTGCCCAAAACACCCTGGCTTTACACCGTTGCCAGAGGGTGGGACATGCCCTTATTGCTGCTGACACATCTGCCCTTGGCCAACCAGGCAGCGCCCCATCAGTGTGGGGGTGCTGGGGCTGCCCCTCGTCCCTCCCTGCTGCAGTGGCAGGGGCTGAGGTGCCTCCCGGGGCTGTTGCAATGTCACCCTTTTCCTCCTGCAACACGTCTTGTGACACCCCCTGCACAGCAGCACACGGGCTGGGGGACCTCCTGGAAAATCTTTGGGATGGAGACAGTAATTAGTTGGTGCAGACACAGCACCAATCCAGTCTGAGATGAACCGAGTCCTTCTTTCATAGAATCATTCTGGAATTGTTTGGTTTGGAAGGGACCTTAAAGACCATCTAGTTCAATCCCCCTTGCCATGACCCTTCCACTAGCCCAGGTTGCTCCAAGCCCCATCCAGCCTGGCCCTGAACACTTCCAGGGATGGGGCAGCCACAGCTTCTCTGGGCAACCTGTGCCAGGGCCTCACCACACTCACAGGGAACAGAAACATTTCCTTAATGATGTGGCCTGCTGTGGATAATTAGTCAACTTAGAGGTGTCTTCCTAGAAATTGAGAGCTGGATTAAGTTACCCAGTGACACAGGGTGGAGGTAAAATGCCAAGAAACAAAAGCCTGGCATCTCTACCAAGTGCTGTATACCCAGTTGGAAGTTTGGAAATGGACAGGGTGGCCTCCTTGGACAGAGAAATCTCTACCAGCACAAGCAGAACCACATCTTATGAACACACATATTCGTGGACACCCACATGTATTTACCCACAGGGGGATCACAATCACTTAGGCACTTTGCAGAGAGGGTGAGGACAGCCTTGGCAGAGAGCTGCCAGTCTAACCTCAGGCTGTGTCCAAGGGGTTGGAGGGGAGAAGACCCCCTGCTCACACCCTGCAGGGTGGCCCTTCTGGTCCATGGGACCTCTTCATGATATTCCCTTGATAGGGAGCTGGACAGCTACCCTGGCAGACCTATTTCCCTGTGGGGTCCACAAAGATCTCACTGAGGTTGTCCATGGGATCATCTGAAGTTCTTTTGAGGACAAGGGAATCCCTCCCTGCCATGTGGTGGGATGGGACATGGAGCAGCACAGCTCCCAGCAAGGCCTCCAGCAAGGAGTGTTACAGTGTGCTGGAGCAAGACGAGGAGGAGCCCAGGGCCTCCAGGGTGGGGAGTGAGGGGTTTCAACTATTTCTGTTTACCAAGAAAAGATTCCTGCACAGTAAGAAAAAAAAAGGATTTTGCCATCTGAACCCAGTTCCACAAAGGGAAGCCTCAGCCCTCTGGGGTTTGTGTGTCAAACCCAGGTGGGATCATGACCTCAGCCCATGCAGCAGACACCCTTGTTTCAGTGATTTCAATGCAAAGTTTATTTAGGAGGAGGGGGAGCAGTGCAGAATACATTTGGATTTACTCTAAAGCTTTTTGCATTGGAAGTGAAAGGTGCGTTAGGCTTTGCAGCAGGATCCAGTGGTTTTAGCAGTAAGGAGATCCCAAGTAAATTCCTAGGTTTAGAAGAAATTTTCATTGCTCTTCAATGTTTGGTTCATTGAAGTCTTGTACATCCCATGGCCTGCACAAAGAAAAAAAAATAAATTCAGATTTTCTTTCTGTTTATAGTCCCTCTCTATTTATTCTCAATCCATGTGTATTTTCCTCTTGAGTATAAGTGTTTTCCAAAATATATAATATGTGTAGTCATGCTGGGACAGCCCTGTGCACTCACACCTATGAGTAAGAAATATTTCTCTGTGGCCTCAGGAAAAGCAGGGAATTGATATCGGGGTGAATGCATTCATTCCTGAGTGAAAATAGAAGGCTATTTTTCACATGATAATTTCTTTTTACAACAGCGTTGCTCTTTTTGCACACACTTGAAGGCACTCAGGCACCTGTGGTCACCCACAGCACAGCAACCCAGTTCTGGAAATACCAGACTCTGATATTTCACTCTGGCACAGGAGCTGGAAAGGGATCAAACAGAGCTGAGATGACACAAGGTTGACATCTCTGATGGTATTTTATCCTTCTTGCTGGAGCAGAGCACGATGCACATCTCAGGAGAAACAGCACTGTTCATACAATCATAGAACATCCTGAGCTGGAAGAGACCCCACAAGGATCATCAAGTCCAACTCCAGACCCTCCACAGGACACCCCAATGATCCCACCATGTGCCTGAGAGCTTTGTCCAAAAGCTTCTTGGACAACGTGCAACACTTGATTGTCCTCATGGCTTTTTTTCCCCTTTATATTTAATTTAAATTCTCAGTAACCCCTTGGGATTTAGGACACAGAAATAATATTTGTCTGTTCACGCTTCAGATGTGCCTTGGGTGAACACGAAACTCACCATTTACAGCAGGAGCGGAACCCAAAGCAACTTCCGACTTTAACCAGATGGGTGGGGCATCTTCCAAAGTGACAGGTCCCTTTTCTACAGAGAAACATTTCCCTCCGGGGTGAAGACAAACCTGCAACAATAACAAAACATTTCCTTTCCTCTGGCTCTGCAGGGCAGGGCAATGCAGTGGAAGGGTTTTCCATCCCTGGAGCTGCCTCGACCACCAAGTTGCCTTAAGTGGCCCAGATTTCGGTCATTTTGAAAGGCCATGTGAGAGGTGAGGTTGCAAAGCAGGTCTACACCTTCCAGAGGTGGGATCCTCAGCTCACAGTGCATCGAAGTGGAGGTGGAGAGTGAGACAGACTTCCTGACACACTCTCAGGACTTCAGAAGCTGCAATTTCTCCTCCTTTGAAAAAGTTTTCAGCACTGAGTTGTTTGATTAATTCCTATCTGGATTCTAGTAGTTTTAACCAGGAGCAGTTAAAACGTGCTTGGGAATTTTGCTTCAGGTGCACAAAAACCCCTTTCTTGCATCTCTTTCCCATCTTACCTGGAGAAATATGGAGTGTCAAGAAGAGGAGAGAAAAGAGCAGATAAAGGATCTTCATGGCTGTGGATTCCCCCTGTGTAGGGAAAACGACCAAGAAAGATGTTTGACAGACAGTCCCTGGGATCTGCAATCTCCTGAACTGTACAAATAACTGTGTTAATAAAAAAAGCAACTATATGGTCTTTTTCTTCAAGCATTCAAAAATAATCAGTAAGACCCATATGACATCATGAGTGCTTTGTGGGGCAACATGTTTTCAGGACGTGATCGTTAACTTGCTCTAATAAGTTGATTGCTCACAATTCTTTCACATTTTGAAAACAGATCTTAGCCAGAAGAGAATCATAGAACCCCAGAATGGTTTGGGTTGGAAGGGCCTTTAACGATCATCTCGTTTCAACCCCCTGCCATGGGCAGGGACATCTTCCACTATCCCAGGTTGCTCCAAACCCATCCGACCTGACCTTGAACCCTTCCAGGGCTGCAATCATAAGTTTATTTTTAGCTAAATGTTTTATCTAGTTGATAAGAACCATTAGGCAAAATGAGGTGATGATACAGGCAAACTTATAAAGTTCAGAAAAACAATTAGTTCATTATGCAATATCAAAATTTGTCAAGACATAACAGCTGGAATAAATGATTTTTGTCAAAATCTTCAGTCTTGGTCTAAAGGTAGAAGTTCTAGAATGGAAATGTACAACCAAATCAGTTCCCATTTGATAAATAAAATCTGAAAAAAACCGTGATGCTTTCATTGAAAGAGTTAATAGTTTAAACCATTATCAGCAAACTAGGATAAGATGACCAAGAAGGGACTTATGGATAAAGAAGTGGCAGTTAATGTTGTATATCTTGGCATTGGGGAATGTTCTGATCTGTCACAAATTATGTTCTCTTAAGCAAGGAAAGGAACGGAGATTGTCTTGAAATGTCATATTTCTGTAAACAAAATTGACAGAAGATAGCCTAAAACTATTTCAAAATTAATTAGAATGTTTACACAAATTAGAATTTTACACAAATGTCTATATATTTGAAAATATCAGGAAAAACAAGGAGATACAGTTAAAATTCTGAAAATGAAATAAGGATAAAATATATATTATATATTATAGAATATAAATATCTATAATATGAAAACTTATTATATATTGTGTTAGTATTATATAATTATTTATAATATATTTAATATTAAAATATTATGTATATTTAATGGAGAGAGATATATAGAGATAGATAGATTTCCATTGAAGAGGCCACCAATTTTTCTGGACCACAGACCTCTCTAAAGGAACCTGACCCAGCCAGACATTTTCTCTATGAATTAGTAGGCAGAGTATTTTTATCAAAGTCATCTAGATATTAGTACATACTTGAACTACTTATTCAACCTTTCCAATTTTCAGAAAACTTATATTTACCTTTTCCATTGACATACAAATTAAAGTTAATAATGCAGAGGTCTGGGGTTTTATTTTGGGGTTGGATTGTTGAGGGAAAGACAAAAGCTTACTTTGAAAAAAAAGACTAGAAAGAACTGAGATGTTACCAGGTATCAGGTGAGCCCAGAAGCCAAAAAAGACCTGCTCTTGGTCCCTTCCCTCCAGAGGACTTTGGCTGTGGGGCTGCGATCCTCTTTTATAAGGTGTTTCCAAAAGGCACTGAAAACTGCTTTCTCTTCTCAGCTATACATCGAACCAATCAAAAACTTACACTTTTTTTCAGTGGCACCTAATCCAACCAGAAACAAGCTGCTTTTTGCTTCCCGATGGTAAAACAGGGTTTCTCTCTCAACCTGTTGAAACTTTTTTCCTGGAAAATCCCAGGTTATTCATGCAACACTTCTTGTGACACCCCGGTTTGTGTAAGATCCGTTAACCCACCACGGTATGTGTCAAACATCTTGGGACACACGTTGAACTGTCCCTGCTTAGGAGCAACATAATCCATTGCAATGCAAAGCATCTGCCAGTTCCTCTGCCCTCCCAGCGAGTTTATTCTCTGTTCCACAAGTATAGAATCACAGAATGGGTTGGCTTGGAAGATCATCTTGTTGCAACCCC